AAATTAGAAGTAGGGAAGCAGTCATCAGCAACCCTCAGCCAACACATGAGATTCGCGTCAAAGAGAAACGCATGCCGAGTCGCCAAAACAACGAGAGGAAAGCCAGATTTTGATAACTTGACTGATATAACTTTGATTGTGCCTGAAAAGAGTTAAAACTGTAATGAAATATGTTTAACATCCCATATGAACACGACATCACGAGTTGTCAACTGAGTACCACGAAACAACAAATCTTCTAAGAACATATGAAAGCTCGAAATATATGAAGTGCATGTACCTTTTGTGGACGACCTCTGGTCCAAAGTGATAAGAGACTCCAACGAATCACGGAGGAGACAGTTCCTATTGAAGAGATCCCATAAATACAAAGATCCTTTCCTTGTGACCAATAATAATTTCCAGTTCTCATCACAATCTACAAAAGTTGCTGCAGATCCAATCATCATGGTCGGTAAAGCACGTCTTCCACACTTTGTATAAACCTTTAAAAACATCAGAAATGGACTAAGGTAAATTTTGCCCAACAATTTATGAAATCTCATAATATTATTAATTGTCCATTGTCTGGAACACACATTAAGAGGATAAAGAAACAAAAATTCTGCCTGGCTAGAATAGAGTGCTTGTTCCTTACCTGTAGACACCCATCTTCACATCCAACAGCCCAGAAGTTTGCATTTCCAGCTAAAACAGAGACCTTTCCTGAGATACGGTCTGACCACAGAGTTTGAGCCCCTCTTGTGCACACGATTTCTGTTTCTTTCGTCATACATGCATTTCCCACACCAACAATGTCATTCACAGCATGTTCCCGGGGACAAGCTTCCAAACAAATCGGAGTCATATCATCCCCTTCTTTCTTGTCAAATACCCTAATCGAAAGAGATTTGGTAGAGCTAACTGTGGAACCTGAAGGCTTCATGATTCCAGGCTGTTCTACATTGATGCTATGATCTTGGCCAGCAGAAACTTTTTCAACAACCAGACTGTCAGTAACAGTAGCTCGAGCAGCGACTCCTGAGCACTCCTTTAAATCAAAACTTCTACCAATGGTCCCTCTGATAGTAGTTTCTCGTAAACTACTATCAGCATGAACTACACTGTTATTGTTTTTCCTCGGGTCAGAATACGCAACGGGGAAATCTAGTGCTTGAGCACTGCCAGAAATATTCTCTTGGTGAATGGGAACACCGACAACTTCAGGAATAATTCTCTTTCTACCATCAGCTCTTCTGTATTCTCTTTGTTTCACAGGACTAGAAACCCGGACAGGTGTCACCGTTTTATTTAACCCATCGCCAGAGGAAAGTCTACTCTTCTTTCCATCACTATTCTGAGGCTTGGAACTTTTGTTTGATACCCCTAACTCAAGAGAGGATTTTAAAGGCATCTGGTTCTGCTGAACATCCAAAGCTACTTTCTTACTAGTGGTTTGCTTCGCTGAAGCAGCTTCGAGTAATAATTGTGCAGGGCTTTCCGCCAAATTTGCCTGTCGACCTCTGACATCACCATAGCGACTTCTCTTTAGCTCGTCAAGCTCAGCATCACTTAGCTTGTGGCCAAGTTCTTTCACTTCAAAATGGAAAGTAGCCACCGTCCCATCCAATGAGCAGGCGAAGAGAGAATAGCCATCAGGGCTCCTGTTCAAGAAAATAGATAACTATTAAGAAATAAATATTTGAAAAAATTATATATTTCACTAAAATCAAAATCTTTACCAGGATAAATCCACAACACTTTGACCGAAGAAATGCTTGGCTACAAACAGTGGGCGAGGACTTGCAGTTGTCCAAACAGTTATAGTGCGGTCCTGACTTCCGATTGCAATTACATTGTATGGCTGTGATTCTTTCTCCCCAGTCTTACCAGCTCCATTTGCCCAGCCAACAGGAGTGCCTTTCACTTCATGTGAATTGGCAGAATTCCTTCTGAACATCGAGTGATTAAACTTCACTGCAATGATCGGTGCATTGTGGCCTAAGAAGTCAAACGTGGCAGCCCATTCCCCTCTCTCAAGAACAGGTGCAGAATGCCTTGGCTTTTGGTAACCATGAGTAGTAGTTATAAAATGGCCACATGGTGACCATCCGAGCCGCCTGAAAAACGTAGATCCCAACTGAAAAGAACATGTTTTCCATCAGAAAAGAAACAGAATGTCTAAGACCAAAGAAAATTCCATCAACACAGATAAACGTACTGATTTTGTCCAGTGGCCATCTGTTTTATGAGCAAGGCTCCAGTCACTTGTTCTCCATATAATAACCGTCTTGTCATCGGATTGACTCGCTATGAAAGATCCAATGGGATCCCAGGCAACTCCTTTAACAAGACTAGAATGACCCCTAAGCACAGCTGTGCAGATTCCGTTACTCATATTCCATATGTGGATAGTGTTGTCCAAACTCCCACTAGCCAACATCGAGTCATCCGGAGACCAATTAAGATCTACCTACTTCAAGCTCGGAATAAAAGAAGTGTCTCAGTTAGACAATATACAGTGCTTATCGGAAACTGCCACATTAAACTTAATGTTGATGCAACAACTGAGTTTCAAAGGTAAAATTATATGCTCATGCGCTTTCAAGAATGAAAAATCAAGCAATAGCACTGTAGCACAATAAAAACTAACTATAATAGAGTTGAACTCTTATCAATGGCTATATATCTCAACATGATAAACAATATCATTACCACATCTGCAGTGTGTCCCCTCAATGTCATTGCGACTTTCCAATTCTCAACATCCGGGGACTCTCCGCTGCCGAACTCAGTCGTCCCAGAGCCAGGCTTTCTCTCGTGAATCAAAATCACTTGATCATCAGACCCCGAAGCAACGAATCGACCATGCTTAGCCCACCTAACACAGTTGACGGACCCGAAATGGTCGCGCAAGGTTGCGAGAAGCCTCAATGTAGATTCATCCTTTCCCAAGTTCCTCCCAACAGACTCCATGTTCCATACTCGAACCTGAAATCAAGACAGATGCAAAAACAGAACACAACATATCAATTCACAACAGAAGAAGCTGTTTATCAGAAAAAACATATGATTTCTGGTCCTAAATCAATGTAAACACCATGTATAGTGAAATTTACAACTTAGGTCACCAGCAGCAGTAACAAGACTAACCCAAAAAAAATATCAAAAGAGTAAGAAATAAAAAAAACCTTGTGATCACCTCCACCAGTAGCAAACCTAAGGCCACCAGGCTGAATATCAATGGAGAATATCTGCATTCCCTCATGCCTAGCCCAGCTTGGTTTCTCAGTAATCATCTTTTCCTTTTCTTCTGCTACTTCACAACACTCTTAAAATTCCCACTCTCTTTTTCACAATGTTAGGTGAAAACTCAAACAAATGCCTGTAAAGTTCATAGCTTTTCAAAGAAAGAAAGAAAAAAAAAACACACAACTTAAAAATAAATAATTAAACCCTAAAGTTTCTTGAAACCCTAAACCCAATTATGCAATATGAAGAAAATCCCAGAAAAGAAAAGTGACATTTTCCGTCGTTTCCTTCCTGAAAAAAAAAACCCAGATGGGGAAAATGTGAAAATTTAGGGTTTTGAAGTGCTTAGAAGTAAAGAAGAAGCAAAGCTCGAAGTAAAACAAAGAAGGCAAAGAAAGAAAGAAAGAAATACCCACGAATACATGATAACAAACCAATAGATGTGAAAATTTAGGGTTTTGAAGTGCTTAGAAGTAAAGAAGAAGCAAAGCTCGAAGTAAAACAAAGAAGGCAAAGAAAGAAAGAAAGAAATACCCACGAATACATGATAACAAACCAATAGATCTTCTTTTTTTCTTTTTTTTAAAGGAACAAACCGATAGATCTTCAAATGAAGGAGAAAAGGATAAATTTTGGTCTCTTGAAGGTCAAATGAGATTTTAAAAGATATGTTCAGAAAATTTGAAAACAAAGAATAAAGAGTGCAAGATAGGGTTTTATTTGTTAAACTTTTAGTACATTATCGTCTTAACACACATCAAAAATTGCTAATATTCATCTAAAATATAAAAATTGCTAAATTTTAGATTATTGTGACATTACTAAGTTGGTCTTCGAATGACTTATCGTTTAGAACATCTACCTTCCACTTCACATCCATCTCCACGACAAACCTCGTTACCCCTAATGACTTTGCGGGAGTAAGTCTCTGCCTTAGACCACATAACTCGGTTGAAGGACTACTTGTATTTTTAATGCGCAGCATAAAGTCACTCACCCAGGCACCATCCTTATTACATATTAATCATCCTACTAATGTCAATCCAATGTTCGCTTTGAATGTTTTGTCTGTGTTTAGGATCTATGTCCTTTCCGGTGGTCTTGCGTCATCCAAATCGAATTTTTTATTATATCTCTATAAGTTTTCGCTAATCATTCTTATGTTCCTTGCCAATTTATACTCATAGTGATCACTTAGCTCGATTTTTCGTCCTTGCTTGTGAAGACTTTCGTTTCTATTCTTCCACAGGCTACAAATCATATAAATATTAAAAAAGTTACATATCATTCCTTTTTCTTCTTATATAATTAATTTTTCATAAAACAAGTTCACAATTAATCGTGATAATATCAATTTTCCAATTATCTAAATGTTTAATAATCTAATTTTTCAACTCCCTTTGATAGTCATCTGTAAAATTTATTTCAAGATATATTGTCTCATGTTTGTCTTCTCAAAAAATTATTTTAATCATTCAAATTTTTAAATAAACATCTCAAAGTCAGTTATATAAATGCACCACATCAGTTTTTTGTGGCTATAGAAATAGCTATGAAGAGTTGAATGTCCGATTTGTTACAAAACGACAATATTAATGATTTTTTTTTTAAATTTAGTGTTTAAAATAAAAAGTTACTCATACTTTAGTGATCATTTATTTAGTTTAAGCAAAAACGAACCGAAACGACGACGCAGCATTTCTGCGCCAAAAAGGATTTATTTTTTATATTTATATATATATATATATATACGTTTACAATAATCGCTTTCGCTTTCCTTTTTTATTTGGAATGCTGATTTTGATCTGCGCTTGACTTGTTTGATTCTCAGGTAATTGAATCCTTAAACTCTCTAATTTCATCTTATTTTTTCTTAATTTCAATTCAATTTTGGCCTTTCTTTATTACATCCACTCTCTCAAGTTTAGGGTTTTCATTCATATTCCCAGCACTCAAATTTTCAAAATTTTCCTATTTTGTTTCTTTGTATATTTATCTAAATGTTTTATTACTAGTTTCATAAGAAGATAAAGTGAGGGAGGAGAAGTGTAAGTGCTTAGTTTTTGAATTTTCGCCCTTTTAAAAAATTGGTAGAAATATTTTTTATTGAACTTTCAGGAATTATTTATGATTATAAATTTATTAGTTAGGGGAAGAGAAGTGAGTTACTTGGCTTTGCGAGTAATAGTCTTCTGTTCATGTGTGCAGGTTTGGCAGTTCTAAGTCAGTAGATTTACAGTGAAAAAATGTTAAGTTCTGGGAATAATTTAAGCCGAGGGAATGCAGGATTGTCATCAGATATGCCACCATTGCCTCAGTGTTTGCCTTTGGAGTCAATTTCATTAGGAAACCAGAAATATACTCGGTCTGGAGAATTAAGCAGGGTGTTGGGCGTTCCTCTTCGAAACAGTACATCAGATGATCATTCTTTTGGAGTTTCACACCCTAAACCTTGCCCTCCAGTGGCGACAGAGGAGCTTAAGAACTTTAAGGAAAGTGTTCAAGATACCACCAGGAAGGCCAGGTATAGTCTTTCTACATTATTCCACCCGCTTTATAATGCTAAAATTTGGAATGTTCTATATTTGATGGAATATGGTAACCTTTATGGTTTAGTAAAGTGATTTCTCAATGTAATTGTGGTGACAGAGGAACCTTTAAAGTTATTTAGGCAATGGTAGGAATTGCCCCTGGAAACATAACGGACAAATAGCAGTCAATGCCTGCAATGCTATTGTATAGTGGTATATGCAATATATTATCTTTGCATGCAATGTAGAAATATCCAGTCTTGGATAGAGAATATAAAGCTTTCCTGCAAGTCAAATGATTCTTGTCACAGTTTTCGTTCTGTACCTGTACTCCATGTGTATTTTATCTCAATTATGATGCCTGTTACTCGTAAGTCATGTGAACAGTTTTTAGTTATCGAATCTGCATTGTCTTTCTAACAGGGATAGAGTAAAAAGGTTGCGAGAGTCAATTTCTAAACTCGATAGGTATAAAGAAGCTTTAAGCTCAAAGAAGCGACAGCGGAGTGATATTTCGAGTGAGAGAACTAGTGGAGTAAATATTACAAATATGGGAAGCCAGATTCTTAGAAATGATCATGACTTAATGACTCAAAGATTGGAGGATAGGCCAAAGAGTATGGGGCTCAACAAGCGTGTTCGCACATCAGTGGCTGATTTAAGGGTTTGTATTTCACTTGTATTGCTGGGATATCAGTTTAGATTTTTATTTGCATTATTTGAAGAGAAAATATGAGGATTTCCATGTGATTTGCTTAGAAAGATAAGTTTATCACTGTTCAGTTATGTATCGAATGTTGTTTCTGACGACTTTGGTCATTTTGTTTAATGATAATTGGATGTGCTATTTTATGCATAAATAAAAGGAAGAAAACAAAATGGGCCTGAAACTTAAAACGTAGCTTTTCTACACCCGTCTTTTTTATCTTATTGTTTAGCTTATGCTTCATCAATTTTATTTACTTTCTCGTTTTGTCTCCTTTTTTGCTTTCATGATACAGGCTGATAATAGAACTGCTGTGAATCCAAGGCAGCAGGGGACAATAGAAAAAGATGGTGATGTGCTTTCAGCTGTTAATGGTGGTTCTGCTCGAATGGAAGAAAAGATCCGCAGATTGCCAAGTGAAGGATGGGAGACAAAGATGAAAAGGAAACGATCTGTTGCAGCTGTGGGAAATAGAGTTGCTGGTGGTGATCGAGATATAAAACCAGTAATGCAAGCAAAGCTGAGTTCTGAATCAAAGTTACGATCATGTGATATACAGGGTTTCAGGTAATTGTCTAGGATTGAACTTGTATCCTAGTTGATGATTTAAGAAAGAAAGCCGCCTCATTTTGCTGGGCAGTGGGTATATTAGTTTTCAACTCAAATTGTATAACTGCATTTTTTGGTATTGCATTCTTGATATGATATTACTGTTAACTAATATATAGGAAGCTTTCTTCTCTTGTATTTTAAGGTCTTGTTGCTGCACTAGATTGTTTCTTCACGATTAGGCTTTTTGTTTATAAATTATGTGATTGTGTCTTTTTTCAGCTTTTTTTCGAACCTTTTTCTCAAAAAGCTTTTTCTTACTGTTGTGTTATTCATTTTTTATGCTTACAGATCAAAATCTTCCCTAGGAGTTGGTGGAATTAGAAAGTCTGACGCTTCTTTTGAAGCGGCTGGTTCAGATGCCAGTACAGTGCTAAGGTATGAATCAGAGAGTACCTCAATTCCTCGAGATCGTGCGGCTATGTTGGAGCAGAGGGTTGTAATAAAAGCAAATAATAAGTATGTGCTTCACTGGTTTAGTTTTAGCAGTCTGGTGTATATGCAGAAATCATACATAGTAAATTTACATTTAATTTTTCATGTATGATATTATTTTTAGTGGTTTCTTCTCCTTGACTATTGATTCTTTTAATGGCTTTACTCATCAGGGAAACTCTCCAGGATGACAATCAGGCAATTGGCCCAAGTACAATGCTAAAAGCGAAAGTTTCTAGGGAACCACGAACTGGTTCCATCATGGTGTTAGACTCATCTTCAAAAGTTCACCTCTCATCTGGAGCTTTGCAGGGATGGGAACAACCAAATCTAAATAAGATCCAATCGTTAGGTGTTGGGAGCAATAAAAAACGTTTGATGTCTACAGGTTCATCTTCACAGGCCATGTCTCAGTGGGGTGGTCAGAGACCACATAAAAACTCACGTACAAGGAGAACAAATTTAGTGTCACCCTCTAATGCTGAAGTTCAGATTTCAAATCAAGGCTTAACAACTCCTGATTTCGGTGCTAGGGCATCTATTGGAACTGGTGGATCACTGCTTGGCTGCAGTGTAGATAATGCTACTCCCAGAATTAAGAGGGAACCTGATAATGTTTCTTCTCCATTTGGGTTTTCTGAGAGTGAAGAATCAGGAGCTGGAGATAACAAATCAAAAGAGAAAGGAATTGATTGTAGTGAGGTTACTTTACCTACATATCAAAAAGCTGAGTCTTTCTTATTGCCCACAAGGAAGAACAGAATGTCTACTAATGAAATTGGAGATAGAGTCCGAAGACAAGGAAGGAGCGGAGTTAATGTGCCATCCTTGACAAAACCAGGCATTCCTCCGATGAGGGAGAAGTTGGAGAATATTACGACAACCAAGCCAATACAAAGTGCGAGATCTGCTTCTGATAAAAATAGAAGGTTCTTAAATATTTCCAGCTAGCTTTTGGTATTAGGTTGTTTATTTGTCTTGAGGAGATCTGATGAATGAATTATTTTTCTTTGGTTCAGTAAGACAGGGCGTCCACCTTCCAAAAAGCTGAAAGATCGCAAGGCCACAACTCGTGTTGGGTTGATACAGAATAATGTGTCTTCAGATTGCATAGGTATGTACTAGATCCACGAGATTTTCAAGTTTCATATTCATATATGTTGAAAATTTAGAGTATTAAGTCTGTTGTATTACTATGATTGCTCTAAGAATATCACTTCAATCATTTTTGCATGTTATTCCCGATCTTAGTGCTGTTCTTGAATGATGTGATTTTTATCTACGTCTCTGTGACCAAACATTATCGTATCTATTTGTGTTAGTTTAGCTGTCAACAGGTAATATTTGTTTGCTTGTACGGGTTTAATGTTTCTTTTAATGGAGAGTCTCTTTTTGTTTTTGTAATTGTCAAATTTGGAATGAGTTTTAGATTCACACTTTCTGTGTGCATATATACCTCTAAATTTTTGTGAACTAAAGATGTTGGTGTAAGATCCATGAAAGCTCCTGTTATATTTTTCCTAATGACAATGTGTTTGGGATGGCATGTTCAGGTGAATCTGATGATGATCATGATGAACTATTTGCAGCTGCCACTTCTGCTCGATTTGCCACTAGTATGTATCTCTCTCCAGTTATTGCCCCATTCCCATCCAAAACAGAAAAATGCCTTTTGAGAACTGAGCTTTTGTTGTGGCATATAGTCTTACCTGTTACTTGGTTTGATAGGTCTTGCTTGTTCTGGTCCTTTTTGGAAGAAAATGGGATCTATTTTTAATTCTGTCAGCTGTGAAGACGCATCATTCCTTGGACAACAGGTACCGTAGGGTTACTAACAGACTTTTGACACATTCACACTTTGGGATTTTGTTAATCACATTTTCCTTATCTATTGTTTTGATGTTGGAACAGCTAAATTTGGCAGAAGAGCTTGATGAGACTCATGAGAGTTTGTCTCAGATGTTTGGAGATGGATATACCGTTTTGGTAGGCTCCATCATCTTATGTATTTCTTCCTAAACCAGATCTTTGGATTGGCTTTAATCACCTGCCAAGTTCAACGACTTTATAAGAGATCTAAAAACTGTCAAAGGGGTATCTGGAAATTAAGCTAAAACTTTGTTGACAAATATTCATACAAACTCCTTTCATATCTCAGGGTGGTGTGACACCAAAAGATGCACCTAGTTCTGTTGAAGAAATTGCCAAAACTAACACCGCAACTGGAGGATTGGATCTAAAACAGTTTGAAAAGGTTACTCCTTTATGCCAAAGAGTTCTTTCTGCTTTGATAGAAGAAGATGAAAGTGAAGAAATTTACAACCACGTTGAAGCTAAGAATATGTCTCTTCACTATGCAAGTGATGATTCTCATTGTGGTTCTTGTAACCATATGGATGTTGAACCTAAAGATAGGGACAGGATAGAGTCCGAAGTTGAGTCGAATGCAGATTTTCAGTGTCAGAAGAACTCTCTGTTAGACAGACTCTCTTATGATGCAAGCGTAGCATCCACCACAATTAGGAACTCCAGCATGTCTAATTCATTACATAGTAGTGAAAGGTGGTTGGGAGATGATGAATTTTCACATTCAGATATGGGGCCTGTGAGTGAAATATGTTCAACTGACTTGGGTCAGGTTCAACCCAAGGAAATGAGTATTTCTGTCGTTTCTTCTTTGGATGGCCAGTACCAGTTTATGCCTATGGAGGACAAGCTTTTGCTGGAGCTACAGAGTATTGGTCTTTATCCAGAGATTTTGGTGAGTTCATTTTCACACTTCTGTCGATTTGACGTCAAATGTCTTTGTACTTCACTCTTATATGATTTTCCTTTTCATTTTTTGCAGCCTGATTTGACAGAGGGAGAAGAAGCAATAAATCAAAATGTTGTTGAACTTAATGAACATCTTTATCAACAGGTTTCTGTTCGTAACTTGTTTCAAATGCATCTGCAACTTGGATTGTTTGAGCTTATTTTTAAATTAGCCTTGTTTTATATATATATATATTTTTTCATATTTTTGCTAAAAAGAAATTTCATTGTTTGATGTAAATAACATACTTAAAACCTGTTAGCTGCCTTTTGCTTTTAAATTGCATTTCGGCAGATTTGAACACTTTGTTTTACTGATTTGTAGATCAAGAAAAAGAAGAAAAAGTTGGGGAAGATTGATAAAGCCATTCAGAACGGGAGAGAAGTAGACAGAAGGTGAGATAGACGGTTGTCTTCTAGTGTTGTTAGTAGCCTTATGAAACGGTGCTTCAACTAGAATATTATGGTTTAATCTGCAGGAACATCGAGCATGCGGCAATGGACCAACTGATACAAATAGCTAACAAGAAACGTTTGGTAATTCTCAGATTCCAGGTGCAATTACTGTTTCTACTTAATAACTAAAGCCATTTAGGCTTAATTCGTTTACTACAAACGATTTATGCAGGCTTGTCGTGGGGGCAATTCATCAAAAAGTGCAGTTAGTAAGGTTTCGAAACAAGTTGCGTTGGCTTTTATCAAGCGAACACTTAGTAGATGTCGAAAATTTGAAGGGAAGGGCAACAGTTGCTTTAGTGAACCTGCATTGCAAGATGTCATGTTTTCTGTACAGCCAAGCAGCAACGAAGCAAAATCTGTTGAATGTATTGGCTCTGGAACTGCTAGTAATACTTGCAATGAAACATCCAACCATCAAGCAGAAGCCAGGGGCTCAGGTACATGCAAAACTAAATTTAATGTTTCTTTGACTCAAGTATGTCGTGTTCTTCATTCTGTACCAAAACTCATGTTCGAATGTGTCGGATACTCAAGAAAATAGTGAAGGCACTAAGAAACATAACGCTATAATATGCCATTCAAGCTTTTATGAATTTTGGAATGTATTTAGTCATTGAGAGCATTATTTTTGGAAGGGTAGGAAAATTTATGTTAATCTCTCTTCTGCCTCAGGTGCTGTTTGTAGTACTTTTGAGAGGTATGATTCTCGAGACGCTCCTCCGGCTGTTCACTCGTCGGAGTATGCCGTGTCCAAGTACGGATCTATGTTGAACAAAGGGAGAAGGAAGGAAGTATTGATTGATGATGTTGTTGGAAGTACTTCTAGGGTAATGCCCGCTCTTGACGGCAGCACCAGAGGACTAAGAGGAAATAAAAGTGAAAGAGAGAGGGAGCAAAGCAGAGATAATTTAAGAAATACGAGTTCAATATCTGGGGCTGGTCGTGCATCACTGGATGGTGCCAAGGGTGACCGGAGAACAAAATCAAAGCCCAAGCAAAAGGATAGTTCGGGGAATGGATTCCATGGCAGGCTTTCCGATCCTTCACTACCTCCTTTGGCTAGCACTAGCAAGATGGTCGAAAGAGGAGCGAGTAACGTTCGTCCGGATTCATCTAAAGAAGCTGACGAGCCTGTTGATTTCGCGAATTTGCAACTAACCGAGCTGGATCCGATGGAAGAATTGGGTGTTTCGAATGAGATAGGTGGTCCCCAAGATCTGAGTTCATGGCTAAACTTTGATGAGGTTGGTCTGCAAGACCATGATTCAATAGGTTTAGAAATACCAATGGATGACCTCTCAGGCTTGAAATTTGCATTTTGATAGTCTTTCTACCCTTGCCGTTACTAATTAGCAGCCCGTTTGATACAATTTGATCAAGCAAGGATAATTATGATTCATTCATACTAATATATGATGTGCATGTAATTCAACAATTTTGTTTTTTTTTAATCCGGTTATATTCTTCTCCTTTTTTGGTTTTTTCCCTCCCCTAGAGATACACATGCAAGGATAAATACATATACACGTATATATATATATATATATGTTAACCACATTACAGACTGGCCATTGTTTTTTTTTAATCCGGTTATATTCTCCTTTTTTGGTTTTTTCCCTCCCCTAGAGATACACATGCAAGGATAAATACATATACACGTATATATATATATATATATGTTAACCACATTACAGACTGGCCATTGTTAATCGGGTTCAGGAGGAAAGAAGATTGCGAGGGTTACCTCCGCTTGTATTGTTCAAGCTTCGACCCCGAACCGGTTCACGAGTGTCATCGTCAACGCCCCGACATCTCTTGGATGATCGATACACCTTAGTGCAGTCGAGGAAGATGGTGTTGGGTTCAGTGGGTCAATAGGATGGCTCCTTCCTCGACAAAAAAACAAATCGTGGATGGTTACGTGCTGACCTGCGTTCCATTCCCGACCTCGGACCGTGAGATTCACACTCATAGGCTCATATTTTCCAATTTTTTTCTCTATGGTTTGAATAGAAAGCTTATCCAAATTTGCTAGCAACAAAGGTAAATGTTCATAGGGACAACTTGTTGGAGAATCTATGCTCTTCACATTCTAAGATTATCATTATGTTTTATCAAGATGAATCTAATATACTCGTACCGGACATATATCCATATTTGATATATTTATCCAAATCCGATCCGATCTGTATAAGTTTCAAACATAACTTAAAAGAACCTATGTATCACTGCACATGCAAGCATGGGTGAAATACTAACTCTTCATTTAGGCTTTGTTGATAAATTGACTTTTGTACCATACTCCATTTTGCAGATCGACTTTTGAAGTATTTTGGCCAAAGTAACTGGAAAAATTTAGGATAAATTATATTTCAGGTCATTCAATTATTAAGTCGGTTACAACAAATCATATTTTTCCTAAAATTTATAATTTAGTACTCAATTGTTGCTTGATCCGATGGACTCACTTGGTTTGACATCATTGTAAAAAAACTAAATTGATTAACCTTTTAATTATAAAAGGTTAAATTTATTAAATTATTTCAAATTTTAAGGACAAACTATTATTGAACCAAGCCACATCGAACTTTCATTTCAAATTTAACGGTGGAGTGACATATTTACGCAATGTCTTTAGTTCTTATTCTGGCTAACAACGTTAGGTTTTTAAACTGAATTGAGAAAAAGAAAAGTTTAGAGAACTATTCACAGAAAAATACTTTAAGGGTTAATATAAAATATGATATAGTTCAGGGGCCAACTTGTATTAAAAACTTTCCCTTATATTTGCTCTTTGAAGAATGTCAAAACCCTAAACCCCTAAAACACACACACAGTAGAATCAAGTTTCTCCCTCTTACAAGTGCTGAGTCGATTACCATCACTTTTATGTTCCCTCTGCTTCTTTGATCTTTTACAAGCTTCTCAGTAGAACTGTGAGCTTTTTATTTATTTATTGAGGATTGGAAATTGTAGTGGTTAACGTATGTTATATTTTATAACACGTACGTCCTACGTACACACAAGTGTTTGAACCCAAGACCTTAATCATTGAGAGCCGGTTGATGGTTCGCATAATTATATAATTATAGATTATAATGAATCTCGAACGTTGAATGTTTTCTGAAATACTATGAAAAGGTTCCAAGTGTTTTTAAAATTTGAAAACTAACCATTGTTATGTACAAGTGATCTGAATAACAGAATAGGTGTTTTTGAGTGTGTAATTGTATACGTCAACCACTTGACAAACTGACCAATTGTTATTCAGATTTAGAGATAAAGATGACAACTACGAAGGTTACCTCTCCTTATTTTGTTCGAACTTCGATCCCCGAATCGATTCTCGTGTGCCATCGTCACGGTCCGTTGGTCCCGACATCTCTTGAATTTGCTAAGAACATCTCTAGACCTTTTGGCCTGAAATGTTCCTCCAAGTACATAACACCAATGGCAGCGTACAAGATTAAGCTTGTAGGACTAGATGGTGAGATGAGTGAGTTTGAGGCCTCTCATGATGAAAACATTTTAGATGCAGCTGAATATGCGGTAGTCGCGCTGCCTCATGATTGCGGAGCCGGAACTGTGTCGGGAAGATAGTGTCTGGTTCGATAGATAAACCGGACGCCACATTCCTCGACGAAAAACAAATTACGAACGGTTATTTTTTGGCTTGCGTTTTATACCCGACTTCGGACTGTGAGATTCATACCTATAATTACATCGACATTTGACTTGATTATTCGAATTTGATTAATATAAGTTTCAAACTGAATTTTAAAGAAGATGATTATGGATGAATAGTTTGGATCTTTACTTTCACAACCAACCTTGAGATGAAGTTTTTTAATATTGAGTCAATGGACGTACTATTTTTTCTCTTATACTGGTATATATTAGTGTTAGTATAACCTAGAGTTTATCGTTATTTCAGTTTTTTTTATACAAATATACCTTAATCATATAGTTTTTTATACAAATATATCTATAAAAAATATAAATTTTAAAATTATTTATTAACGCTTACGTTTTACAGAAAATTTACCAAAAGTTACAATGAAAGATGGAATTTGATCAAGCCAAACTCATAAAAAACCAAGGTGATAATAATTTCATATCTAGGCTGAAATACAAAGGCATCAATCATATGAAACAAGAAATGGAATTACCATGCACAGGAATGAATCGTACGAAAAGGTCGCCGAGCCTGTATATCTTTTATCCTTTTCCTTGAACTTGTCGGTCAGACCCTGAAATTACAACAAGCTCTTCAATCGAACAATGGCAAATCAATGTAAACATGTGCATGCAGATTTTACACGGAATGCATGTTCGTGTCGACAGATTCAACTGATTGAATCGGTCGAACCAATAAGCATTTTTCCAGATGAATGGACATAGCTAAAAAGAGAACAATATTTCACCTTAACAATCATCCCACATCTGCAAATCAAACAGATGATGAGAAAACATCGGTCAGATTACATTTCAAATCTTTGAAGGGGGGAAGGGGAAAAATTAAAACAAAAAATGAAAAGAAAAGAAGCCTTACTCGACAAAGCTGTCAAAATCGAGTTCGGCCTTTCCACTTCCGTTTTCGTACTTGGAAATTAGAAGTTGAAAAACAGGAGGTGGAACTGCATATCCAAGGCTGTACAGAGCATCCCTTAGTTCCATCAAATCAATTCTCCCACTTCTATCTTTATCAAATCTCTCGAATATTGCCTACAAACTCCGAATCCATTGAACGTTAATCAATTGATTAAAGATGTCACACAAATACCATGTTGATCGAACACAAGAATGTTGGTTACAAGTATTACATTTCATACATATGTTCGGAAATATGGCAAACAGAAGGGTTAGATATGAACATCTAAAGTGAAATGAAAAATCAAAGGAAACGTTTAATCATTTACCCGCCAATAACCAAGGCAGCTCCAGAGTGCAGCAAATTCCACAGGCCCTGGAATTGAAAGTTTTAGCAACAATCATATATATATATATGCTTAACCCAACTCAAAATACTTGTTTAAGATGATACTTGCATCCCTATTCAAATTTGAATCTAATAGCTTAGCATTTAAGCACAGGAAAAACACCACGGAAGTTCAATAAACAGAGCCATTAAGTCTGGGGTTCAAGTTTCATTTATGCAGATAATATCTTCAACCTCACGTTGGGATTATATCAATAATAAAGCAGAAAAAGGGGGAAAAGGAATGAATTTTACCAATCCTGTGGGAATCATAAGGATTCTTGAACAAGAACATGAGCAACCTTATAGTCCTAAGATTAAACCTCTGGTAACCCGAGGATAGCGCCTGCTGCAATTCGTGTTCATCGATGAATCCACTTCCATCCTTATCCACCATTTGAAACGCCCTCACGACATCTGAACGTGTTCCTGCCGGAAACCCACCGCTCTGCACATAACTTGACGACGGCCGAGGTGGCGCCGGCTCCGGAGGAGGGTGTCCGTAGTAGCTCTGGTATTGGTTCTGCTGCTGCGGAGGTGGAGGCGGAGGCGGAGGCTGGTGCTGTTGGTGGACGTAGGACTCTAGAGGCAACTCCGGTGCCGACGGCGCCGTGGAATGAGATGAATTGTACCTTGAAAAACCCATTGATTTCAATATTCGAAACACAATTATCTCTTTTCCTGGATTTTCCCCCTCTGTTGGTATCTGATAAAATGATAAACTGAAACCCCGATTTCGATATCTTTGTTATTTATAAGATAAATTATTATTTTAATACTTAAATTATTAATTTTGATCTATTTTACTGTCTCAACTTTTAATTTTTTAAAATCATATTTAATATTAAATTTTGAAAAAATTAAAAGTTTAGGTATTAAAATAAATCAAAATTGATATTCTAGGTACTAAACGTGTTAAGTTTTTAGTGGAGGGTATAAAAATGAAATGAAAACTAAATGTTAGGTATGATTTTGAAAAAATTAAAAGGTTAAGTATTAAAACGGATCAAACTAATAATTTAGATACTAGATGTGTAATTTATCCTTATTTATAAACAACGACGGATCTAGAATTTTTTTTAGGATAAACGCAAATATGTTAATAATATAATTTTTTATATATAGATGATATGCATAAAATGTCAATGGACAGACATATATTAATAGAAAAAAAACTTCAAATTTTAAAGAAGGAAATTTGAATTCTAGGAAATGTCAGTGTGGACACTGTTTATAAGGGATAAATTAACGTTTATTCCCTAAACTTTATATTTTCCTTAACTTAGTCTTTAAACTTTGTTTTGGTCCACATTTGCCTCATAAATTTTACATTTGTTTCATTTTAATCTTCTTAATAATGTGACATTTCGAGATTATATAATGTGGCACATCATCAGAATTCCAAAAGACTGAAAATATGCAACACAAAAAATCCAAATTCAAGAACCAATAAAAATAAATAAAAACTATAGAGCCAAATTTCAAAAGTT